TCGTGATCCACTTGGTATACCGTATGATTCACGTTTAGTCACCACTGTCGATAGATCCGTGAGCGACGAAGACGAATCCAACTCAATGGAAGGGGTCAGTGATGACAACCCAGTTTTCCGAATGACATATGTTCAAAGTACAATTAGCTCAACAACACGTTATGTTCGCACTGTATGCCCTCAGTTGGTGATATTTTACAATGGAATTAACGTTGAACCATTAGATAATAGATGTTTCGTGATTATAATTGTTGGAACGAAAAATACTATTTGACGCTTTTCTTGGACTTGTCGGTAAGCTAACGACAAAGCTTGGAACAGATTTAGTGGTAACGTGATACATTGAACTCAGATCATTCTATGTATATTGTGTCTAGGTCTGATACTGAAACCTCAATATGAAATCGGAACAATTCCTCTCTTAGCCTCTCAACAGTGTACCGCCGTATTTAACCACACTTTAACGAACTGTTTAACATTTAAAGCCCAGTTAGCTTCATCTCAAATCCAATCTAACACTTTTTTGTTTTATATTTTCAAATAAAGCTGTTGTTGCGAATCACAGCTAATAATAGAAATCATCAGGGGAAAAGTGGCATTATTTTTAATGTAGTTTTCTAAACAGAGTTTAAGGCGATCTTTGAGTCTTAACATATATCTGCGCACATAAATACCATTGCGTACCCAGTGTTATTCGTTTTGTTGTGAATAGAAATAACTTTATAAACAATACATGATCATCATTAATTTGTTTATCGATTGTTTTAATTTTGAGGAAAATCACATGAAAATATACTTTCAAATTTTGAGGCCGACGTGTGTTCCGTCTTGCACCTTTATCAACGCTTCTGTTCTGCTTGTAGAGTCGGAGCCTACTCGGACTAACCGCAGGTGCATGTAAATTGATGAAAACGATGTTTAACGTGAATGTACGAGTTAGCTCCCCTACATCAAATACATGATCATCACCTACGTTCTAGCAATGATATTTTCCCCTTCATAAATCAATATTCAAAATTTATGAGATAGGTATAACAAATTTACATAATCGTATTACGGTTCATATACATATCTTATCGAGGCATAATAAAACAAAGGGTCGTTCATATTTATAACAAGTCGTACAGGGGCAAACGGTGGGCCGCCATGTATTGTCAATATTACAAGGATCAGTCTTTGGTTAACAAGTGGCAGGTTTTCTTTTGTGCATGCAATAGATAGAAAATAGGAAAAAAAAGTTGTGGAAACAGCATATGATATATTGATAAATACAATTAACAGTTTTTGAATTAAAATTATCACGACTGCAGTAGTACAGAGAGCAGGTGATTGGGACAGCACCGAAGTATCTGATCATTGTTATCACTTTACAGTGCAACATCTTGTTAAGACATTTTGATAACGCTGACGTATACATGCATCAATCCAAGGACGTATGCAGTGACCAGCTACCCGTGATATTTTCAAGGTCAAAAGAATCTCAAATAAGTGAAAAACTATACACTTCATTGTAATAAGATCGCATTGACCTTCACCTCTAGAACAAATGTGAAATACGTGCAAAACTTTTAATGAAATCTTGTCTAGATTGCACGTTTTTAACCATTGAAGATTTGTTTTCTAATTTTAGAGGTGCAGAAAATGTGCATAAAACTACGGTGTATTAAGGCCATGATTACGTATCACCTCTTGGTCAAAGGTCAAATAAATACAAAGCAAATATAAATAGTTTTACATATTTTGTTAACAAAACAAATCTTTAGTTATTTTCTATTTTACGTGTATTAAAACAACGGATTAAACAAACGTGGATACATGCCACTTCACATATTCTGGAATTCTAACCGACAAAATGTGTTGTCCAGTAGCAGAATGTTTGAAAGAATACTCTATCAGCTTAAACCCAGCTCCCCTATATCACGGATTAAACGAGAGTCCTCATGCGCTTACTACTACAATAAATATCCTAAATAAAACCAACGTAATCCGAGCATAATGTACGCTTCATAATAAAGATATATATGTAACAATCCCTAGTTGTACGCTATGGCATAATAACATGTCGTTCAGCCCCCTTTACAGAACATTTCCGCTAGCACGAACTTCCCGTTATTAATTCCATAACATTTCACTTTGTTGACCTTACAATTAACATATACAGTATTTTAGAAATCTGTAATAGTCATTTAGAAAAACATAAATATTTATATTTTTTATTCATAAGTTAACATCTGAATTTCTCGACAACTTGTGCCCTGTATCAAAGGTGAGACCCTTACTTGTAATGTTACGACTATCGCACCACACACAAAACTATCAACTAACACTACAGGTCAAAATTTCAATAAAAAAACACGTTGGGTCCTTATTTGTCCTTTGTTAGACTATTGTTGACGATTGGCCTTTGTCAAACTGTTAACCATGTGCTAGGTATCACACCAGTTTGTCACCTTAATATATAGAATACTCGGACATTCAATTTAAGTGACCGGAAAACAAATCTCCGGCCACTACTATCACAACCAACGTAAGGGATGTTTGCTAACTCTGACGTTGACCATTGTTCGCCATCTTACTCCAGACCCGACATGTGAATTATGACACATGTTTTCTCGAGCTGACCATCAACTGGACAATGACTTAATTTTCTTGGCCACTGACTTGGTCAGCAGATGTTAATTGCTTGTCAACAAAAAATCAACCAGTCACGTGTCAACTCAAATAGAAAAAGGTTACTACGGAGTAATTACACGCCTCCAGCTAATAAGAGTTCTGAATTTCAGGTTCGCCGTTGGTTGGTAATAGAGTTGAGCAGTAGTCAAGCCTTTCATTGGTATATACCTGCTGTGACTGAAATGTGTTATCACCGTCCAATTATATATTTTTTAAATTACTCCGGATTTTTCTATCGGCAAGGATTTTTGAACATAAGACTGTCAGTTATTCATTCAACATTTGATTGTATTCTTATTATTTTGGGGGTTTTTTTTCGAAAAAAATAAATGAATAGTCAATATATCTTAATGCATAGATGAAATAACACATGGAAGAAGAGAAACTAAAAAATCATATAGTAATTAGTTTTCTATGGTTCAAAATTAAACAAGTTGTACTGCCCACAAAAGCGTAAATGACAAGGAGAAAGTGATTTTAACGCCCTCTTATAACGTACATCCTGTTGGACATCACTGGTTAGGCACACGTATGAATGTAGAAATTAATTTACATCAGCTTTTTATCTGATAAAATAGAAAACAAATACTTAGCATGTGAGTGAGAAAAACGTTTAGTACTTTATCAAACCACACCCAAGTCTTTAAAACTATACAAGTCTTAAAAACTAACCTGTTCAAAAGTCTCTTGTTGAAATTAATGTGATGTTTATGTTCAAAGTACTGTTAATATCTATAAATGAATATCCACGGCCAGGAAGTAATGTGTGTTCTCTATGATAATTGCTTCGCTATAGTATATAGTCGTTTGGTCCTATATAATATGATCATTAATAATAGTTAGTTCTAACAGCATAAGAATTGATTTCTTCATCATAAAATCATTATTTGTTTATTATATAATATTTTTTTCTTTTTTCTTTTTTCTTTTTTCTTTTCTTTATAATATGATAATTAGTTTTATATGACCTAAGAATCGGTTCTAGTATTTGTTGGCTTTGTATATTGTTATTCTGTATATACAGTCTTTATTTTGTAACTGATAAGTCAACTGACTTAAAGTACAATTCTAACAAAGAACTTAAACTTGAATTTTCAAAACAAAAAATGTTGCCTATAATTACTCGTCTGTACTCAGCCTCAACATAGACGATATCACAATCGTCTGGGACGAACAGCGTTTGTGTAAACACCAAGAGACCGCACTGATTTCTGACTCACTCCGGTATATATGTGATTCACTTCCGATGTAGGTGTAACATATTGATACACTGTAAACAATATACACCGTACACATCCTGATCAGAGTCATTAAAACGTAAACAAATTAAACACTTACGACCGAACTTTGTTTCTCCGAAATTACTGAAATCGCGAACAAGTTTCGAGAAAAATGATATCTGATAATGCAAGTGCAAGAAAGAGACAGTAATTTGAGGAAGACATCTGGAATAGAAGGAAGGTCATAGTTTTAAGATAGTTCATACCAAAACTCATTTACAGTTCTTGTCTTTTTTTCCATCAATATTTTTTTTTTTTTTTTTTTTTTTTTTTTTTTTTTTTTTTTGATGTTTTTATTTCCACTAAAAATCAATACTCGGTCAACAAGAATTGCGTTTCATGTTGTTTTTCCCTCTATATTTTTTTTTTCGCTTCAGTCAAAAAAAAAGGATAAATAAAATGTAATGATTGCGAAGAATAATAATTAATGCAGATGACACACAACATGAAATTCGTCCGCGAATTATTGTATTTAAATTACGAATAAGTTATGACTATTGATATTGACCATCTTTAAGCTCAAATCTGCGTTTTTTCGTGTTCTGAATGTTACATATGCTCCTTTAGCTATTGTATGTAAGACCACTATATTGCGGGGCCATGTGCAACTGAAATTGACATAAGTGTCATGACACTTGTTTTTGTTTCCTTTTCTATTCTATATAATGTACAATTTGTATTTCCATGCATTGTCAAAAATTTTAAACCAACTGTTATCGTTAGAATAGATAATTGCTGTCGGATGATTAATCATATATTTGTTTCACGTATATATTTGATTCACGTATATATTTGATTCACGTATATATTTGATTCACGTTTATATTTTTATTCAATTTTAAGTTCTTGAATTATGCTCTTTCATAACACGGTTAACCATTCTTTATTGATATATTTTTTTACAAATAATCTCGCAGCTGTCCGTGTTTAGTTAATACCTACCCATCCATTGTTGGTCTGAAAGTTTTTATTACATATATGTTTTACAGGTATGAAACATACATGTATATGTTTGTATATGCTTTATTTATCCTCTCATTCCTGCAGATCCTACCCACTGGACGACGTCACACGTACGTGAGTGGCTGGAATGGGCGGTTAGGGAGTACAAGCTACGTGACCTCGACGTCAGCAAGTTCCCTCATTTGGATGGGAGGGAACTGTGTAACCTGACAAACGACCACACCCACTTCGTACAGATCTGTGGCTGGAACGCAGGCGTGGCGGACTGTCTCCTCACCCACCTTAACTACCTCAGGGAAGGTAAGTTTCCCTACAAGGACTACCACACTCGTATACATTAAGTGTACATTCGGGTCAGTAAGTGTCCCCTCCCACAGCGACTATCATATCCTACGTGTACCTTAACTACATCCCCGGGTCAGTAAGTGTCCCCTCCCACAGCGACCATCATATCCTACGTGTACCTTAACTACATCCCCGGGACAGTATAAGTGTCCCCTCCCACAGCGACCATCATATCCTACGTGTACCTTAACTACATCCCCGGGACAGTATAAGTGTCCCCTCCCACAGCGACCGTCATGTCCTACGTGTACCTTAACTACATCCCCGGGACAGTATAATTGTCCCCTCCCACAGCGACCATCATATCCTACGTGTTCCTTAACTACATCCCCGGGACAGTATAAGAGTCCCCTCCCACAGCGACTATCATATCCTACGTGTACCTTAACTACATCCCCGGGACAGTAATTGTCCCCTCCCACAGCGACTATCATATCCTACGTGTACCTTAACTACATCCCCGGGACAGTATAAGTGTTCCCTTCTGTGGGCTACAACGTATCTAACCTCAATATCCCCGGGACGTTTTTCCCTAAAGGGCTATCTTCATATCCTACATGTATTCAAACTACATTTCCGGGTCAGTATAGGTATCCCCTTCCCCGGGGCTACCATATCTGTCCTTAACTACACCAGGGACAGCACGTATCATCTTCCCCGGGGCTACCATACTTTACTTCAACATCCCAGAGACGGTAAGTTTTCCTACAACGATTATCATATACTAGCTCAACTACTCCCGGGACAGTAAGTGTTCCCCTCCCACGGGAATACAAACTCCTACCTGAACTACATCCGGGACAGTAAGTTTGCCATTTTCTAGAACCACTACATTCTCTGACACCAAATACAGTAAATGACCCTCGCCCTAGGATGAACATCCTGAACGGGGGCTATCACCTCCTACCTCAATTACATCTTGGGCGTTAACTTGTTCCTTCGCCTGGCACTACACCTCAAACCTATAGTATGTATCACACACTCCAGAACAGAATGTATCTTAACCTTTCGATATTTCTTGTGGGTTTTGAATTGCTAAATGGATTTCGTCCAAAATACAAATAAAATAAAATATGTATGTATGTCAAAAACAAACGTACATCCACAAGTGCAGTACACATTAGCATTGATAGTATGCGTCACTAACATCCGTGATAACCTCGAGTTTTAAAGTTCTAGGAGTTGTCTCGCCTGTCGTTCGTGTAACTCTCTCATACCAATTGATACAGTGTACATATCTTAATGTTTCAGGTGTTGGTGGTGTAAGTGCCGGGTACAGTAACGACAATGTGACCAGTAATACACCCGTTTCCACCGTATCCTACACCCATAGCAATGGGGGCAGCTGTGTAGCCCGTTCTCCCACAGGTAAGTTACCCATAGCAGTAGGGGGTAGCTGTGTGGCCCGCTCTGCCACAAGTTACCTTACCCATAGTAGTGGGGTCAGCTATGTGGCCCCAATTGCCACAAGTTACCTAACCCATAGCAGTAGGGGGAAGCTGTGTGGCCCGCTCTGCCACAAGTTACCTTACCCATATAACTGGGGGCAGCTGTGTGGCCCGCTCTGCCACAAGTAACCTTACCCATAGCAGTGGGGGCAGCTGTGTGGCCCGCTCTGCCACAAGTTACCTTACCCATAGCAGTGGGGGCAGCTGTGTTGCCCGTTCTCCCACAGGTAAGTTACCCATAGCAGTAGGGGGTAGCTGTGTGGCCCGCTCTGCCACAAGTTACCTTACCCATAGTAGTGGGGTCAGCTATGTGGCCCCATTTGCCACAAGTTACCTAACCCATAGCAGTAGGGGGAAGCTGTGTGGCCCGCTCTGCCACAAGTTACCTTACCCATATAACTGGGGGCAGCTGTGTGGCCCGCTCTGCCACAAGTTACCTTACCCATAGCAGTGGGGGCAGCTGTGTGGCCCGCTCTGCCACAAGTTACCTTACCCATAGCAGTAGGGGGCAGCTGTGTGGCCCGTTCTGCCACAAGTTACCTTACCCATAGCAATAGGGGGCAGCTGTGTGGCCCGCTCTGCCACAGGTAAGTTAACTCGTCATTGTTAACCCATTAACATTGGGGGCAGCTTTAACTTATATTGAGATGATAATTGAGTAACTTGGACGTCATACACAGTATATGTATTGAATATATATGTACAATGTGATCTACATGTATTTGCGTTTAACCAGTATGCCAATTACAAAAATCCACTCAATCCTTACATAAGATTAAATAAACACTAGAATCCGTTACCGAGAAAAATGTTTAGAAAAAAGTGAGAAACATAAGAAATTAGAAAAGAAATTAGGAAATGATTGTCTCCCTTGGTTCAGCGGACTGCATCTAACTTAGAATTTATTCAATGATACTTATAAGTTCAAATAAGAAACTTAAGGTTTTCTTTCCTTTTTTTACTTCAATGCGAGCCTAGTTTGATTAGATTTAACAGACTCAGTATCAAAATGACTATGACGATAAGGACAGTGATGATATGACCGGCCGCCCATTACGTCATCCCCCCTCGTTATAACATTTAGGTCCTCTAGTGTCTGTTATCTGTTTGAAGAGTAAACGATCACCATTTCAGACTTCAGAAGTGTACTTAGTGACCAAAGCGTTTTGTTTATGTACTCAGTCTCAGAAGTGCTGTAAATTTACTTGTGAGCCGATTATCTCTCTCACACATTCTCTGTTAAAGGGGATCATTTCGGTAATGAGTGTTTTCCGCCATCACAAGTAGCCGACATCTTTGTCCCCCAGACACTTGAATAAGAGTTGCATTGTTGTTGTATTGATACACGTTTGGTGGTCGTATTTGCTTAAGTAAACAGCCAAGGGTTCTCCTCCGTCAACTTTAAATAAACATTCCGACACATCAATTGTATGTTATGCTTTTGTGGACATTTCTGCTATGTATTATTGACTTAAAACTGCTATATTTAGTCGAGTCTTTTTCGAGGAGCTCAATGAGAAAAATCAACAAAAAATCTTAAAAACCAGGAAATCGTCTGATACTATATTACCTTAGAAAACACGGATATTGAATGGGAGGCGAACACATGGTCGATACATTGCATTGCCCGGGTCTCACCTGAAAAGATCTTAGCAAATATTGTATTGGTTTTTCGGACAAAATACGGAAATTGCTGTCGCATGCTTTGATGTTTTTGATAAATTTCCTTTGCCGTTCTTCTGAATATGTTGACCAACTACTGGTGATGTTCTGTAAGAGCGGATATATTCATTGCAGGTTCTGGTTTGTGTAAACAATTAAAAAAATCGCATTTTTCTTGAATTATTTAGCAGATTAGGTTGTACTCGTTGGTCCCAATCCTGAACTTGACCCACTGACCAATATACAATTACGACCGACTACATGTAAGTGACGGTGTGTGAAATCGAGTATGTTTGTACAGTATTTAGGACATCTATTGATAAGCAGCTTGTCAGTGAATCAGAAAGGGCTGCTGCGACGTCTTGTATTTCAACCCAGGTTGTGATGTTCAAATACAGCCAGATTTTCCCTTATTTTTGTCGCTCATGAAATCAAACTCGTCCGTACTAATGTAACTCCTTGGGTGTTTAATTTACCGGTATCTATATTCGAGACACCAGTCATTAACTGGAATTTTCTAACAACAATTTTATGATACAAAATATATAGAGTAAAGGTTAATATTGAATCAGATGATCAAGCTAATAAGTCGCAATACCTTGTGCCTAAGCATTTGCTGTACGCTCAGCAATAAACAGATTTCAACTAATTCCATTAAACATTTTACAAAAACATCGACTGAGATGTTAAAATGTCAACTACGAACCCTTTCTTAAAAAATGTATGTAGAAATTAATTTGCTTTAAGTTGAAAACAAATGTGAACGTTTCCTCAAAATCAAAACTTGAAAAAAATGCCACGAGTTTTTCCATTGATAACGCCAGCTTATTCAACATTTTTACTGAGGACGCAAATTTCCGTTTCTTCGGAGCACATTAATGTCATCGTTTTGATATATGAAAGAGTTTATAAAATTTCTCCTTAAATTGTCATAATGTTTTTCCGAGCAAGGAAATCAAAATTAACTTGTTATGCAAATCCTACCTTAACCGAATACGATAGCATGTGATATCCAGATATTTTGACACTCGAGCTGTTACCGGAAGAAATATGAAATTGATCTACATTTATAATATCAGGTAGTGTATAATTATCATTGTCAGATGATTGCTTCGGACACTTCGTGTAAGTGTACAGCAGCTTACATTGTAATAACAATGTCGCGTACTTGTAGCATTAACAGACAACATTATCTATTTTCATTATTAATGCTATGCTTCATGTACAGTACAAGTAGGCTACAGCTATAGATAATGAATGTCATCTGTGATGGACGCCTGTCACTTTCTCAGTTTCCACTTTTGGTTTTTAATCAAATCTGCATGTCTTTATGAGGAAGCAAGTCACTTAGAAAAGGATTTAAAAAACGAGAGAACTGATTTGGTATCAAGACGTGCGAATGCATCGGTCAAGCAGGTGGTCATCGTGCCGAGTCTCACCTACACGTGTGTGTCCAGTTGCACATGCATATCCTTAGCGTGATACAGCGGCGGTCATTTCGCCGAATTTGAAGTCGTTTTCTGCTTTGCTGATTTTCTCCAATGGTCAATCCGAGCTGTTCAGAATCAAGGACTGGCCGAGTGGCAGGTTTACTGGTTAAAGTAGCGCGTAGAGAACTGACACTCAAACACGATACAGAATAAAAAGAAATCCGATTGTTATAATCGTAGTTTTAATAATAGAGCGTGGACGGGATAAAACAAATTATTGTTTAGGTGTTAATGGTTCATTCAATTTTCATGCATGTCAATGTTTGATATTGAGTGTCGTGATTAAATCTTATTTATAACTGAAAGAAATGTCACTTCCTAAATGTTTTTATTATTGCACTGATCGAAGAATATTAATTTTAAACATCTTGTTTTTTCGACAAAGGCAAACGATAAACATAAACATAAACATAGGCTTTGAAGTGAGCCACTTTCCAAATGTTCTCATCTTATCATAATTTCAATAATGCTATGAAATCGGTGCAATCTTACTTATTCTTCAAATTCACGTAAGTAGTATTGTATCTTATTTGCGTTTTTGAAGGAGAATACTGTTTTCTGCACATAGCTACCGTTAACACCAACCCAACTTTTTTGATATGTTATGACAATTATCCGAGATAATTAAAAAGTAGATTGATAAAATAAACAAAAATCGAGGTAGAAATGTTGTTACATTTTAATGACTAGCCCACAAACAAATAATTTCACCATCTCTCGTTTTGAGAATTAAAACTGTTGACAAATTTGTTTTTTGTATTTCCCGGTATATTTCACCAAGGTAAAAATTGTAAATCGTCTTTGTCAGCACCACGCCTACTTTCAAGTTAGTAGGATGAAATATGGTCTTACTGACCATTATTTTTATTAGTTGTATGTGTTCGGCAGGGGAGTGCGGGTAACGTGTAATAATACCAAACGAGAAATAAGTGCCAATAATCTTGATAAACACTAATAAGTAGTCCACAGAATGATAAATTACGAAGGAAGGTAAATGTCGCCCTACAGGTCCAAATAACCCGAATATATAGGTAACCCGAATGTATAGGTAGCCCGAATCACGTAAGATCATTGGTGAGTCATTAATAAAAAAAAAAATGAGGTACGTGTTCCAAGCTGTTATACCTCTGCATGTCGAGTTTAATGCTTTAGGGTAATCCAACTATTTCGAATGTTTCTTTGGGTCGATATAACAATTTATGAAGTACAGAAAACAACCTCGATGTTGCCCGAGGCTGTAAAAATAAATTTCTGTGATCTAGAAAATTTCATATTGGCTCAAAAACAATACAAAAATGTACACTATTATAAAGAGTTCCTTACCAAGAGTGGTTTTTACTCAATACGCAGAGGGCAGGTTGTAAAAGACAACTTACCCTACTAAAACCCAGTTATGTTACTTATGAATGTTAAGTCACTGACATTGGTGGTTCCTCATCCATTCGTCGCTTGCTGTGTTGATATACATTTGTACAGTAATCCATCTGCGTCGGATGTGTTAATAAATTAGTGTAATAAAAAGCATATTTGATGGACTGGTTTGATTTTACAAGATATTAATATTTTCAACATACGATAGAGCTTTTGTTAACCTATAACACTGACTTGTATTATCGACGTTTGATACATCTGTAGACTATATGGATTTAACCACTGTATTTCATTGAGGTGATCTATTCAGATATCGAGATATACTAATAAACTGCACTCTGGCGGTGGCAAGTGCTATTTAGTTCTTGCATGCTTAAATCATTTTCATGCTTTAAGA